AAAAAAAAAAAAAAATACATGGTTAAAAAAAGTCTCTAGTAACTTCTCAAAACTTTTTTTTTTCTTTTTTCTCAATGTGTTAGATTATTCTGAGTTGTGTATATATATATTTTTTTTCATATTTTATATTTATTGATGTAGGGTTTACAAAATAAAATAAAATAAAATAATAATAAAAATAAATAAATAAATCAAATAAACATGTGGTAGGCAACTGTAACTTCTCAAAGAACATGACCTGGTCTTGTATCACATTAACTTCTCTGGAGTGTCAAACACTTCACACAATATGAGATCCCCCTGTACCTCACCATGGTGTAACACTGCTGACATCTCACATATAAGCATAGTGACTAATTATCTCCAAGTGTGGACTTGTTGACACTCTTAGACATTATTGGTGTGTCTCAATGTGTTAGATTATTCTGAGTTGTGTATATATATATTTTTTTTCATATTTTATATTTATTGATGTAGGGTTTACAAAATAAAATAAAATAAAATAATAATAAAAATAAATAAATAAATCAAATAAACATGTGGTAGGCAACTGTAACTTCTCAAAGAACATGACCTGGTCTTGTATCACATTAACTTCTCTGGAGTGTCAAACACTTCACACAATATGAGATCCCCCTGTACCTCACCATGGTGTAACACTGCTGACATCTCACATATAAGCATAGTGACTAATTATCTCCAAGTGTGGACTTGTTGACACTCTTAGACATTATTGGTGTGACAATTGCTCAATCAGAGGGGCCCTTCGTTATCACTGTTTTCCATCAAGCTCCCTGCTGACGTCACCTGTCAAAACCAGGGCGCAACGGTGAAATGAAGACCCTGTTGCTGACATGGCTGTTTTCTCTTTTTTTCTCTTTTTCCTCCCTGTATTGTTCATTTCAACACAATCTGCCATATGCTTCCCACTACAGATGATGAGAGGCTGGATAAAATGTTGGGACATGAGTGTACTTGGGTGGGGGTCGGGGTGATACTTCTAAAGAAAGCTTCTGAACTGTCAGCATTCTGTCAGGTTGTGGAGGTGGGGAGGGGGAAAGTGGTGCACGTGAACTCATTGATGTGTTTGACTTTGTGTGGCGTTAGCAAATTTGGGTGGCAAAAGCTGAAAGGATAGAGAACAACAGAAGAAACAAGACGGGAAAAACCTCTCTGGCGTGCGGCTGGTTTGAAGTGAAACAGAACAGTCTGTGAATTATGTCTCTCTCTGGTTCTCTGTTTCTTAGATGTCGGGGAAGAGATGGCGAAACCTGTGAGTGCTGTCCAGCCCCCCACTACTCAGCACCGGGAACGGAGTGTGGGTTCAAGCATGAAGGACTGCCCCTACTGTGGCAAATCATTCCGCACCTCCCACCATCTGAAGGTCCATCTAAGAATACATACAGGTGAGTGAGAAGTCCATTTGAGATATTTGTATTAATTTGACATGTAAATAGTGGTGTACATACCTAGTAAACCTAATCACAGTTTGAATTGGCGTTAATGATGCAATGATTAAACAGCCCACTTTAGTGGAATTTAAAAACTCTGTGCCCATAAATGAACTTCAGGTATGTGAGGCAGGACGCCCCAGCCCAGCAGAGTAATGATGTGAGCAGTGCTGGTCCAGTGGCTGTCAGGAGACCCTGCTGTTCCACCCAGGAGCAAGGCTGAGGCTCACTAGCAGGCACAGCTGGCCTAGTTAACATGCAGGATAACCAGGATAAGCACTCAGAGGTCACCTTAGATTCAGCACACTGCTGTCTCTGTTTATGTGAACGAAATGTGTAAACATTGACACCACTTTATTATGTGAATTATTAATTATTATTATTATTATTATTATTAGTTTTTTTCTCAGTTATTACAGTTTTTTTTTATTTGACAACAATAATAAAAGGCTGTAATGTAATGCGTCCATACACACATTATTTATAGTAAATATAAATTTAAATACATTTAAAAATAAGACATCTAAATGAAACACATCTAAATGAAAGCCATTTTATTCAAGTCTTCTGTTAAGAATGCTAATTATATCTAAATACATTGGGCTAGACTGATGAAAGTAATTTTTATGGGTCAGATCAGAAATACCTGCACATGTTCACAGTGAAGCTTGAGTCATAAAAAGGACAGACATAAAAATAGAAAGAAGAGAGAGAGAGAGAAAGAAAGAAAGAGACAGCTTTCTCTATTCAGCAAATAATGTGAGGCCAATCCCTCTTCTTTCCTTAACTGTAAATGGAAATCACTCGCAGCTCAGGGAATCGATGGTTGTTATTTTTTTGGTATGTGCATACAAGGAAGAGCAGAGACCACCCAGATGGTATTTGTCCCACTTAATAAGAAGCATATAGCTGTGCTACTCTGGATCATTAAGGTTGATTATAAGGCATGCTTAACAATGGAGCTGATGTGTAACTCTCTCAGACTGCAGTATTTTCATCTTCTGTTGTAACAGAAGCACAGGAAATACTATTACTTTTCAATACAGTACTCATACGAAGTCTGCAGAACGCTGTCATCTGCATTTGTTATGATCTAATATGGACTGGGAGGCAGTTGGAAAGAGTTGTTTTTCTTTAAATTATATATATATATAATTTTTTTTTTTTTTTTAAGATGTTATGCATTATACGGCTAGATAATATTGCACATAAAAGAGTGTCAAACGTACATTTAATGACAGGCAGTCACAGTAAAGTGTTTAAGTTTTCGTTAAACAGAGGGGTTAAGCCTTTGGACAGGCTGGTTATATCCTCCTAGCAGGAGAGCAGCGGATGGAGTGAGGAAATATGTTTCTAGCTGAGGGAGGTTGAGTTATGCCTGCTCGGAGCAGGGGGTAAGGGTCCCCAGTAGAGCCGTATTTCAGCCGAGAGGAAACAGAGGCCCTCGTCCCAAGCCTCCGTTAACTCACTCACTCACTTTGCTTGCCGTGATGGCCCACGTGTGTGCGATGTGGCCCGAGTGCGTTCGCAAGTGGAGGCTACGTTTTCTGTCGATGCAGCAATTTACACGGGCCCTGATGTACTTGCAAGATGTGTGACTCTTTGCTGATCGGTTATAGGTTTGTCATAAAGATTCCCGGCTGACAGACATTGGAGATAAGGCCCAGGTCTCGGTCTAGCTCTGCTCGAATAATTTACAGGAACAACAGACCCTTCCAATCAGGCTGAAACTATGCCGTTGACATTATACAAATATCCTGCCTTGATTTAAAGCAATCAGACATGCGGATGACACAAAGCGGGCCTCAATCCCGATGCCGTTATCCCATCACAATGGCGTTGCTTACTGAGGAGGCCAGGGCATTGTGCGACACAATGTTAGATTAATGACTCTCTAACGTCGGCTTGAAAGGAATGAAGTGAATTTAAATTTCTCCAAAAGTTAAAGAGCTAATGTTACAGTATTAATTTCCTCTCCAACAGTGAGCGGGAAAATATCCATTAGTGAAATTAAGCACAGTTTTCTAGGTAGCTAACATTGTGCAGCGTATAGTGTGGGGCCACAGCTAATGAACACTGCAGTGGGTGATATTTCATTATACAAATTAATGCTCACATTTTAATGGGAAAGTCACATAATGAATCTAGGCTTCAGTGACAGCAATTAGAGACACAGATTGTCCCCTTCTGGACAAGGCAGTATTTAGCAGTAAGCAGCTGTAGATAAAAAATAAAAAGGTCCTTGCTCCTGACAATGGCTACTCATAACTTGAGGCTATAGGAGAACCAACATGCCAAACGAATCACCTTTGTTTGAAGAGAGACAGAGGACAGACAGGCAAAGGCCCTGTGAGTTCACCTTGGTGATTGGGAGCCATTACGCATCTTGAGAGAGTCTTGGACTGAACCGAGAAGAGTTGGCTCACACGACTGGATGGAGCTTTATGGCTGTATCGAACAACATTTTGAAGGTTTACTTTGAAGCAGGAGAAAGAGCGAGCAAAGAGCCGAAAGAAAGAGCTCAGATCTATGGTCAGTTGCTACTGTTCCAAACCATAAGCATTGCAAATTACAAAGGTCACTCCCTGTAGAAAATGTTGAACGTATTGCCTGGTGCATGGTTTGCGGTTTTGTTTCGTTCGTATTTATTTAATTTTGTTTTTGTTCTTTCTGGTAATGCTTATTTGCTTACTACATGGTGAGTTAGTTCTCTAAAACTAAAAGTCTTTAAGATGAATGGAAGGGTTGAATTAATGGGCCATACAGTAAAGGGTAATTTAAAATGTAAATAGAAGTTGTGGGTACTATGTGTAGGGCTTGAGAACTTGAACACCTTGACATTCTTGTTTCTACATTTGGCATAGATATAGCATAGCTTAAGGAAGAAAAAAAAACACATCTATTTTTCCAGCGCAGTCAATCTCTCTCTCTTTCTATCCCCCTGTGGAATGCAGGCTGTCTTTTCAACATTCTGTAAAGCCATATGGAAATTCATCTTAAAGTATGTCATATCTATTAACTATTTTAATTGCCCTTCTGTAAAGGCTGTGGGTGTTTATTCTGAACTGTTACTATGGAGTCATGACAAATCACACAAATCCATATGAAATCAGTTTGCGCTGGACTTCAAGTGTTGAGACTGAAAGTGTTATGTTAAAACTGAACTTGCGAAATGATAATAGATATGTACTACTCACAGTGAGAGGTCTCTGTAATTTATATAAAGCCTGTCACACTATGCCAGATGGCAATTTGATATGTATTTTTCCCTCCCTATTTTTATTAACACAGTCCATCAGCCATAAGAGTGAGCACTGGAAACTTTTTGGAGTTTTTGGAATTTTGCACTTTCTCATTTCAAAAGATGAAAAATAATAATCTCTTTACCTCTCTGCCTTGGTGATCCATTTTGTTTCCCTGAGGTTGTGTTGTTTGTGTGGATATCAATTAAAAGTGGATTAACGGGTACATAATGACCTTTAGCAGTAAATTGTGTGTAATGTTGCAAGGCAGGATACAGTATATTCCCCAGATGTCACACGTGTCCCTGACGTATGATGGAGCAGATGTCTTACTGAGCCCAAATGGTGCAAGAAAGAACATGCCACACGCACAGAGACTTACACAGGCACTTGAACACACACTCGCATAAATATACAAGGCTTATAAATCAATATATATATATATATGTATATGTATTAGCCCAAATTATAGTTTTAGCATTTCATAATTTATTAGCGTAATATTTGTCCTAATATGATTTTTTTTTTCTTAAGTAAAAATAAATTTAAATGTTATTAGTATTTTCATAAGCAGATGCACAAATTGGGGTGGAGAAAAGCAGATCACTCTAATTTTGGGTACAGAATATCATTCCTTCCAGTTAAAGGAACTGAAAATGATCATTTGCATCAAGGACGTTTCCTTATTGAATCACACCAAGCCTCTGTTATCCTGCTCAGAGGATAAGCACTTATTGGGTTAAAAGCTCATCTTGTATGATGTCTTTTGAATATGCGCTTCAAACATTCTTGTGTAAAATAACAAAAGACCCCCTTTTTTTCTCACCCTCTGTCCTGCCCTTCACTATATGTCCCCCTGTATGTTTGTTCCCTGTAAATATAGCATTGAGTTTATGTTTGTGATCCTTTATTTAGGAAGCTGTGCAGTGGGTCTGCAGATCTTCCATTCTTTTTCTGGAATGGCGCCCTCCAAATAATGATAAATTACTTGAGCACTATGCCATTTGCTAATTATATCCATGATTTACTACAGAGCCAGACTTAAATCATTCAATTCAGTCTTGCGTAACAATGCAACATTTTTTCTGGGTTAAAAAATGTTTTCCATGTGTATAATCTAAGCGTTTATAGCCACACACACACATACATCGAGAAACATGCTTTTATTTTAATTTTCCCATATCTCTCCCTCCCTCATCTTTTTTTTCCACCACGCACGTCATCATTTAATTCCTGAAGCATTACAGGGTTTCAAAAATCAAGCCTTGCATTTAGTTTATTGCTTATTGATCTTATAAATCTAGCTTTCATTCCAAGCCTATTCTAATTGTTGTCAGAAAGTATTTTATATCAAAATTGATCGAATCATGCTAATACAATTTAGACTCTTTCTCTTGTTAAAAGCTACTCCCCTTTCGAATTCTTGTACATTTGCATGTGTTTCTAAACTGCCTGCATGCCTTCTTTTACAGTACATTTCATGCTGGTTAGCATTTTGTAATCCACAGTGTGAGGCTGCCTTATGAGGAATGTTCATGTGCACCACATATGGTGTGTTTATATCATTTAGACTATCTTCACTCTCAAATGAGGCCCTTTTATTGGGTGCATTTTGGACTGAGGGGGTCACAGTTGTCCTCCAGGGGGAATAAAGAGCTTCTGTGGGGCTTGATTTATCCTCACAATGATAAACTGCAAATAGAGAATGTCCACAGAACAGCTCCACCACCAAGGTAGAGGCTTGACAGCAGACAAGGCCAGGAGAGAGACAGAAAGTGAGAGCGAAAGACAGCAGCACCACAAGCCTGCAGTTCCCCATGTGAACAGAGATAACATCCAGACAGTTATGTTGTCAGTTGAAAATATGATCTCTGTAGTGGACTGAAGGCACCATATGGTGATATGTTTTTTATGGCGCTGACGTGAGTGATGGCTCACTCCTAGGATCTGGATTGAGCTGGATCGACCCGTATTGAAACTCCTCCCTCCTCTCAAAAAGGCTGATGGACTGTTTACTAAGTGATAAATGTGCTTGAACGCTGCAGAATGTGAGATTTAGAGAGGCTTGACGTAATCCCTGACATGATTCCTGTCAAATATTTACATGTTGTTTTTCTTTTTGCTCTTCTTCTGACAGGTGGAACAAGCCCAGGGTTCCTGCTGAGCTTGTTGGCACCTTTATTATTACTGCTGTACTGACATCTGCTCCTGTCTGTTTTTGTTTTTTTCTATCACTCTCACTGTAGGTGAAAAGCCCTACAGGTGCCCTCATTGTGACTATGCAGGCACTCAATCAGCTTCTCTGAAGTACCACCTGGAGCGCCACCACCGTGAGCGACAGAATGGAAGTGGCCCCTCAGCCAACCACCCTCCATCTTCTGAAAACAAGGATGACCACTCCAAGAACAGCAGTAGCAGTGGGGTCTTTGCTCGACCAGATGTCCTTCGCGGGGTCTTCAAAGGGGTGATGCCTTCGGGTCTTGACTTCAGAGGGGGTCAAATGCTCCCTCAACAGTGGATACCACCAGGAATGCTCTCACCCAGAGACAGAGACCGTGAAAAGGAACGCGATCGCCACAGACCAGGGTCAGAGGCCACCACAGAGGGCATGAAGAGTCCTGAGGGGCCAGCCTCTGCAGCGGACATTCCTGCCAGCTTCTCCGACCTGGGCCGAGCCTACCAGAGTATGGTGGGAAACGGAGTCAACTTCCAGGGATCCCTGCAGGCTTTCATGGACAACTTTGTCCTCAACTCCACGAAGAAAGAGAAAGAGATGAGAGAGAGACAGCTGCATGGTCAGCACTTTAGCCAGGAGAGTGCCGAGGCCAAGACCAAAAGAGCCAGTGAGGGAAACCATGAAGAGAATCCCACCAGTGACGTCAAGCCAGCTAAGGGTGGCCGCTCCCAGTATGAGCCTCTGGATTTGTCTGTTAGACCTGAAGCAGGGTCCCTCCCTGGAGCTTCCATCACCATCCAGGACAATGTCGCCTGGCATGGCTGCCTCTTCTGCTCCTTCACAACTGCCTCTGTAGAGCTGATGGCCCTCCACCTGCAAGCCAACCACCTGGGTAAAGGCAAGTGTGGCCCAGGAAAAGATACTAAGGAGCACCTCCTGGGAGAGCCTTCTCATGCAGGAAGAGCTACTGGCTTGGCTCCTCCACCACCAGGCCTTCTTCATCACCATGAGGGAGCCCCGTCCAGGGACAGAGAGACTGAGTCTGGGGATCTGAAGGGACAAGCAGGCTGGTCCAACCATCTGGAGCAGCCCCCGCATGGAGTCTCCATGGGCACATTCTCCAATGACTTCTACAAGCCCTTTGGTCCTGTGTATGATGGCTCTGCTAGAGGGCCTGTTGGATTCCTGGACCAGCAGCAAATTCTGCCCAATGATATGGGTGGTCAGGGCCCTCTGGACGACCTATCTGACAAGGCGTCCTGCAGCGAAATAGAGGCATCTGAAGAATATGGCGGCCAGTCTGAGGAAGATGAAGTAAGTCGTGACAAATCATTGCCGAACCCCACTGCTACAGAGAGGCATATGCATTCAGATGATGAAGAGGAGGCAGAGGAAGAAGAAGAGATGGTGATGGGTGATGCTGAAGAGGAGGACCGTGGATCCATGCAAATGTTTCCTGAATCTCCATTGTCAGGGAAGGACATCCAAAGATGCAAGATGACTATGGGCCCCCAAAGCTCTGGCCTTTCTCCTTCTCAGCCTCCCACCCCTGAGAAGCAGTGGCACCAGCAGCAGCAGCAGACAGGCCTCGGTCTTCTCACCCCAAGCGGTGGTCCTCCTGGCCTGGTAAAGCCTGATCAGGCCCACCTGGAGCATCAGATGAACATGCTATCTGTCCTACGGGCCTACAGTTCAGAGAACCTCGCAGCCTTCAACGGAGGCCTTGGCGGCAGCTCCAATGGAGGAGGCAGTGGCACCAGCAGCATGAAAAGAAATGACCCCTCTGGTGAGTATGACAACATAAACCCCTATTTTAGTGTCATAAATCAATGAACAGTGACTTTCAAAATGACATACTGTTATACATACACACTCTCTAACAAGTAAACACATGGTATACACTGCATTATGAGCAACACATCATCACTACAGCATCTACTATTTCTTATTTGTGAACCGATTACACATTGAGACATTTGTTCAATGTTTCTCTCATTGGTCAGAAATGCACCAATACAGAAACTCTCTAAAGGAGCAAGATTTGCTTTTGAGTGATTTCAACCTTATTTCGGGCAAGTTTAGAGACCATCATGGATGACAAAGTAACATATTAATCTTTATTATATTGTCATTTTACAAGAGCACCAGTCCCACCCTCTCTCCTTCCCTCCTCTTTCTGTGAATAAGGGTGTCTGCTTTGGAACAGACCAGGAGCTGATGGTCCCTGTGTCATCTCTAGCTCACAGAACTTAACTATCTTAGCTTTCATAAAGGCCTCTCCCAAAAGCCCATTACTTTATAAGAACCCGGGATCTATGGCCTTGTGAAAAATGATCTGTCAGCTTGCATGATTCTGCTAAGGTTACTGGTGCTCCTTGAGACTACTGAGTTTCACACTGCCCTTTCTGAAAATTTGGTGATAAAAAGAATAAGAGAGTAACTGTGAATGAAAAAAGAGACTAAATCCCTAATAATTGAATTTGTAGTTTGGTTTGGGCAGCTGTAGTAGAAAGTAAGTGGGTGCCACAGCCTTTAGATGTCATTTTTTAAGGGTATTTCTTACAGTTGAGAGATCACTTTTGCTTAAGTAAAACAGTCAGGTAATAAAACATATGTATCCTCCATTTTCCTTTTGTTCCTAATATATTATTCATTAAGGAGATGACTATTTTTTTAATTCTGGAGTTGAGACAGACGTTCTTAGTTTGGTGCTTTACATTGGTGTTATTACTTGAACTCTGCAAACACAGAGGAGCAAGGCAGACATTATTTTTTTGCTCCCAGTAAAACAATATTACTGCAAATAGGTGTAGGATTAAACAGGGTGGTTTAAACTATTGCAGGTATTTTTAACAGACATGTTTTATTAAGCTTCTTCATTCTCACAAATCTTAATACTTATTGTTCCTTTCATTTGTAACTATCAAATTGTTCATTCAGTTCAGTTTAGTTTATTTATGTTGTGTATTGTACTTGATTAGTAACCACAAATTTATCAACAGTGATTTGGATGTCAAAAATTCTGTAAAGGTATCAGTTAGTTATTTTAGTAGTAGTTATTTTATTTAAGTAGTTATTTCAATATAAGCTGTCTTGGTAGTCTGCTACATCTGGTATATCACCATAATGTTGACCGCAAGTGAGTCAACAACTAACACTCACGTCAGCTGAACGAGTCGACAATGTGAGTCAGTTATCTGGAGAAAGAAAAAGAAGAAAGAAAAAATAAAAAAACAGGCTAAATTTCTAGTCATAACCTTAGAAAACCATGAAAAGTCAAAAGCATCTTTCCACTGTTATAGTTAAAGTTACAAAAGAAAGGAACACCATAGTCTGTCTTTACACCATCTTTCAAGCAAGGGAAACAATAAATACAATAGAGAGAAAAGTAAAGTCTCAAGACTGCCATGTGTTTCACTTTCCCCCTTCAAAACGGTGTACATTAACAATTAATGGTGCTTTTGACCTTTCAATTATGGAAAATATGTCTGTCTTGGAGGAACCTGTTGCATTTTTAATATTTAGAGGAGGTCATTCACTTGGCTGAAAATTAATGCTAGTTTTTGTCATCGTAGTGAATGCATCATATTGTAATATCCTTCTTTAATCAAAGACATTTGAAAAGTGGCCTTGTGACGTCCTTCTCTCCTGCTGCTGTGAAGAGGGACTGACCTTTAGAGATAAGGCTTTGTCTAGAGAACAAAAGTTTTTTGTTTGGCATTTTTAAAGCATGACTCCATCAGTTTGTCGCTGGTGGATGCTGACGGGCAGCCGAGTGCCACTGTATACACTCTGACTGTGTGGGCATGTTTGAGGTATACATACAGTAAAACCATTGAATGACCACAAGGAGAATTCAACAGACAGTTTATTCTTCCTTTTCTGAAAGGAATGTGTTAGTATTACTGCTGAACCTGTTCTACATACTTGTGTTTGTGTATATGTGTGAATGAGAGAGACAGATTTCGACACCCGAGGAAGGTACTCTACTAAAATGCATCCTTAACTACAATTTTTGTGTTGTTTTCAGTTACAATATGTATGTATCCTTACAAAATATATATATATATAAAAAATAATAATAATAATATATATATATATATATATATATATATATTGCTTTAAGGATGTTTAGATATTTTTACTGTAAAACAACACATATATAGTTGTTAAGAATACATTTTTTGTTTTTTTACATTTTGTGCATTCACACCATCTACTCTGTATTATAGTATGGACTTTCACAATTCACAACTCACCAATGTTATGCATATCAAGAAATTGACTCAAAGAAATGAAAACAGCACAATCACTTTTTTTTTCAGTTTTAAACCAAAATAGATGTAAAATACCATATAGGTAGAACTATCTGATCTTGAGTCTTTTGTGCTCGCGTCTCTTTGTACAAAATTGAGTGAAACACATTCTGCACGATTCCTTGGGGCTGGGCATAGATGAAGCAAAAAATCCCTCTGAAAATTGAATTCAAGGCAAAATATGATTATCCGAAGTGGCTTGGCATTAGGTTTGTATGCAAATAGTGCATAAATCATTAATATTTAGAAATCTCAGCTGAATATGTATGCCTTGACATCCGATATGGAATGAGTGAGAGTCATTTTAAAGTGACACCCTTATTATTATACCGCTTTTATAAGACACACACACACATTTTCTTTCTCCTGCATGACAATTATCCTACATTCTTACATTACATTCATAGTATTGTAGATTAACCCTCTCCCATATTTACAGTGTACATTTTCCTTCAATCGCAACAAATACAGTAAATCTAAAACTAAAAATCTATTTTTTTTTTTTTTTATACTGAAACTAGGTGGAAATCTACTTATATTAGTGTTACAAGAGTTTATTTGTAGCATAGCACATATTAATCATGAAGTATAACTGTGATTTAGCACTGAGTTCTGTCAGACACCTCAGACTGTGTGTAGTCTAGTGGATTAGCTTTGTATTGTTCACATTGCTTAATGGCCTTGTTCCATTGTGCAAGGCAGCCATTGTGTAAGTGTATCATATAATCAATACTAGGTCTGTTAGTGGCATATCTTCATCTATACATTGCACATGTCTCGAGCATTGTGTTCTTTGTCTTTCTTTTGCTCCTCTTTGTCTTCCCCTTAATTTAACAATGTATCATCACAAGCTACGTGTGTTATAATAACCACACACGAGTCCCGGTTATCTGCAGCACCTGTGCAAAATGTTGTTAAGGCCAGCAGATAGTAAAAACGTAGCCTTCAATGCTTTTTAAATATTTGCTGGTGCACTTTAAGAATGAAACGTGTCACTAGAAAAAGTGCTTTCATTTATTGTGAAATGACAAACGAGAGAAATGAGATTATTAGTGTCCTTTCCCTCTGCCGCCATCACTCTCACCGAGCTTTTTGCACACTCTACCCTCACCCCATTTTGTTTTTGTTGTTGTTTTCATTGTCGTGGTCTTCGTAGCTTGCAGTGTAAACAGTTATCTTGATTCACCCGCCCTGTCTCCATTAGCCGTCATGAATAATGACCACATTTAGATCTCTCACAGGAGAAGTTGCGAGCGCACGCTTGTAGCGCAGTTACCCGGCCTGTCTAAAGTGTGTGAATTTTCATATCTAACCCTGCTTAATAGTATAAAGTGTGTGTCTGTGTGAGAGTCTGAGGCCCTAGATGGTGCTTTGGAGCCCAGGTTTCAGATGTTTACCGCTAAGAGTCGTCCAGCCACCACCCACAATCCAGTTTTGCCACACAGTCAAGACATTCCTCAAGTGACGGGTCTGTAGTAGGCAGAGAAAGAGAGATGGACAGAAAAAGAGGGAGAGAGGATGTACGTATTATGAGATCAGACTTGAAGGACTGCTGAAAGAGGGGGCTGCTCACCCCAACCATCCTAGTTCATAAGGCCATGACACCCCCTGGTGGAAAAGCAGTGAACCCTGTCCCCATTCACTCCAAACCACTCAGTGAGAATGACAGATGATTGGAGACGGAGAAAGATAGAAGGAAACAGAGAAAAATAGGGACTGGGTGAGAGATGTATGCTTAGGAGGATTGGTTTATATCTTTCCTTTTCTTCTTCCATGCAAATCCCATTGGGTTTATCAAGTTACAATGTGTTCTCCTTAATATGTCACGGCAGATTTACAAACTCTTGAGTTAAAAAAAGGACTTTATAAACGATGCAGTTAAATAAGACGTGTGAATGTTCTTTAGGAACTCCCAGTATTTTTACTCCTTTTATTTTAGTGCCTGTCTGCTAGCCTGTGTGCGTGTTAGCATGTATCTTGCCCAGCAGACATGAGTGGGTAGTTAAACGTAAATGGTGTTTAGTCACCAGTGGCCAATTATCACTGTCAGGAGGGTGTAGGATCAGACCCTCTCTTGGGCGGGTCTTGACCCCAGTCTTGTGTGGGTCAGAGAGAGTGCACTACTTCCTGTCTTCCTGTCAGCCTTAAGTTCATCTTCCCCATCTTTCCCCCTCGCTAACTTCTAACTTTATATGCCTCTCTACCTCTCACTCTTTCTCTTGTTTTCAGTCCGTCTCTCTTCGGTGAGTGTGGTAATAAAGCGCTCGTGCGTATGTGTGTTGTTCTCTGACTAGGTTATATTATGATAATTAAAAACATATGGTGCCTGCAATGCACACAGTGAACCCACAGATGTAAAGAAACAGACGCGACTTGTGACTTTCTCTTCATACCGAGGAACATGATGACACATCCTCACATGCTCGCACAAACATCACACTTGCTCGTTAGTAACGTTTAGTGTGGAACA